CGGTTCTTCACATCAGGTAGCCAAAGCATTGGAGCTTCAGCATCTGTCCTTCCAATGACATTCAGGGTTGATTTCCTTTAGGATTGACTGGTTTGATCTTGCAGTCCAAGGGACTCTCAAGAGTCTTCTCTAGCACCACAAAAAAATTGAAAGCATCAATTATTCAGTGCTCAGCCTTCTTTGTGGTCCAACTCTTGCATCTGTACATGACTACTGGAAAAACCATAGCTTCGACTAGACAGACCTTTGTCCTCAAAGGGATGTCTTTGCTTTTTAATAGGCTGTCTAGGTTTGTCGTAGCTTTCCTTCCCAAAAGCAAGTGTCTTAATTTCATGGCTGCAGTTACCATCTGCAGTGATTTTTGAAGCCCAAGAAAAGAAAATCTGTCACTGTTTCCACCTTTTCCCCATCTGTTTGCCATGAAGTGATGGGATTGGATGCCATGATCTTAGTTTTTTGAATGTTGAGTTTTAGGCTAGCTTTTTCATTCTCCTCTTTCACCTTCAACAAGTTAGTTTCTCTTCACTTTGTGCCATTAGGTTGGTGTCATCTGCATATCTGAGGTTGTTGATATTTGTCCTGGCAATCTTGATTCTAGCTTGTGATTCATCTAGTCCAGCATTTCACATGATGTACTCTGCATACAATTTAAATAAGCAGGGTTATAATACACAGCCTTAACATACTCCCTTCCCAATTTGGAACCAATCAGTTGTTTGGTGTCTAGTTCTAACTATTGCTTCTTGACCTACATCCAGGTTTCTCAGGAAGCAGGTAAGGTGGTCTGGTATTGCTATCCCTTTCAGAATTTTCCACAGTTTGTTATGATCCACACAAAGGCTTTAGCATAGTCAATGAAGCAGAAGTAGATGTTTTTTGGGAATTCTCTTGCTTTTTCTGTGATCCAGTGGATGTTGGCAATTTGATCTCTGGTTCCTCAGCCTCTTTGAAACTCAGCTAACACATCCGTAAGTTGTTTCGTGTACTGCTGAAGCTTAGGTTGAAGGATTTTTGAGTATAACCTCACTAGCATGTGAGATGAGCATCATTGTACAGTAGTTGGAATATTCTTTGGCATTGCCCTTCTTTGGGATTGGCATGAAAACTGACCTTTTCCAGTCCTGTGGCCACTGCTGTGTTTTCCAAATTTGCTGGCATACTGAGTGGAGCACTTTCATAGCATCATCTTTTAGGATTTGAAATAGCTCAGCTATAATTCCATCACCTCCACTAGCTTTGTTCATAGTAATGCTTCCTAAGGTCCCCTTGATTTCACACTCCAGGATGTCCAGCTGTAGGTGAGTTACCACACCATTGTGATTATCCAGGTCATCAAGACCTTTCTTGGACAGTTCTTCTCTGTATTCTTGTCACCTCTTCTTAATATCTTCTGCTTCTTATGGGTCTGTATTGTTTCTGTCCTTTATTGTGCCCATCCTTGCATGAAATGTTCCCTTTGTATCTCTAATTTTCTTGAAGAGATCCCTAGTCTTTCCCATTCTATTATTTTCCTCTATTTCTTTGCATTGTTCATGTAAGAAGGCCTTCTTATCTCTTGTTGCTATTCTCTGGAACTCTGCTTTAAGTTGGGCTTATCTTTCCCTTTCTCCCTTGGCTTTCACTTCTCTTCTCTTCTCAGCTCTTTGCAAGGCCTCCTCAGACAACCACTTTGCCTTGTTGCACTTCTTTTTCTTGGGGATGGTCTTGGTCACCATCTCCTGTGCAAAGTTATGAACCTCCATCCATAGTTCTTCAGACACTCTGTCTACCAGATCTCATCCCTTCAATCTATTCACCACCTCTACTGTATGATAAGGATTTGATTTAGGTCATACCTGAATGGTCTAGTGCTTTTCCCTACTTCAATTTAAGTCTGAATTGTAAAAGGGAGCTCGTGATTTGAGCCACAGTCAGCTCCAGGTGTTGTTTTTACTTATCGTGTGGAGCTTCTCCATTTTTGCCTACAAAGAATATTATCAATCTGATTTCAGTACTGACCATCTGGTGATGGCCGCGTGTAGAGTTGTCTCTTGTGTTGTTGGAAGAGGGTGTTTGCTATGACAAATACCCTTGACAAAACTCTGTTAGCCTTTGCCCTGCTTCATTTTGTACTCCAAGGCCAAACTTACCTGTTACTCCCAGTATCTCTTTGACTTCCTACTTTTGCATTTCAGTCTCCTATGCTGAAAAGGACATCTTTTTTTTTTTTTGGTGTTCTAGAGGTGTTGTTGGTCTTCATAGAAATGGTCAATTTCAGCTTCTTCAGCACTAGTGGTTGGGGCGCAGACTTGGATTACTGTGATGTTGAATGGTTTGCCTTGGAAACAAACAGCTCATTCTCTCATTTTTGAGACTGCACCCAAGTACTGCATTTCGGACTCTTTTTTTGACTATGAAGTCTACTCCATTTCTTTTAAGAATAGCAAATATAATGACATCTGAATTAAATTTGCCCATTCCTGTCCATTTTAGTTTACTGATTCCCAAGATGTTGATGTTCACCCTTGCCATCTCCTGCTTGACCATGTCCTATTTACCTTGATTCATGGACCTAACATTCTAGGTTCCTATGCGATATTGTTCGTTACAGCACTGGATTTTGCTTTCACCACCAGGCACATCCATAACGGAACGTCATTCCTGCTTTCGCCCAGCCTCTTCATTCTTTCTGGAGCTATTAGGAATTGCCCTCTACTGTTTTCCAGTAGCATATTGGACACCTTCTGACCTGGAGGACCCATCTTCTGACATCGTATCTTTTTGTCTTTTCATACTGTCCCTGGGGTCCTCTGTGGCAAGAAAGCTAGAGGGTTGCCATTAACTTTCCAGTGGACCGCAGTTTGTCAGAACTCTCCACTGTGACTCTTCCGTCTTGGGTGGCCCTGCACGGCATGGCTCATAGCTTCATTGAGTTACCCTCGCCCCTTTGCCGTGACAAGGCTGCAATTCATGAAGGGGCGTGGAGGCATTGAGGGATAAAATAATGAGCCTAAGCTCATACAAGCAAGTGGAAGATTTGGAATTCTGTCCCAGGCTGTCTGGATTCAAATTGTATTCTTAACCATGGTTCTAAACTACTGTTTGTAAGTTATCTTTTTAGAGGTTTCATTCTTTAAAATTTAACTCTTTAAGTCAAAGTCTCCTTATTCTCTGCTTTACCTCATTATATAACCCTGTGCCTGGAGCAGGAAGTAACTCTGTCAATATCTGTTGATTGATGTGACCTGATGTCAGAGGTCAAAGAAATTCTAATAGATTTTTCTGGGAGTTTTGACTTGCTTGGTTAGACTTGATTTTATCTTGATAAACTGACTGTTTACTGTTCTCCCTCTAACTGTTGGTGGAGATGGTCAGGGTGACTGTTAAGAATTTAACCTGGCATTTATTACCTAAATGAATGGTGCTAAGTGGTGGGTAAATTTACTAATGTGTGTGAAATCAAATCTCAAATTTTGTTCTGTGCTTCAAAGTAAACATTTTAAATTTGCATGTTTTTTCTTAAGCAGTATTTTATTACTTGCATATTTGATATGTCAGATCAAAGGAGTAAGAGCAACCTGTACTTCACCTTTCTTACAATATCAAGTCCTAGAAATATATGTAATTTTGCACAGTTTTTCCTTGATTTCTTTGGGGGAAGAAAAGACTCTTCATGGAGGAAATGGTCAAAGCTGGTTATGTTAAAGTTACTTTGAGAACTCTGTGCATACTGTGTTAAGCTCTGGGATCAAATTCTTTCCTATTTAATATAATGACAAGTTAGCCAAAGAAGCTGAAGTCTAACATTGGAGTTTTGTTTACCGTATTTCTTTTATCTAACAGCATGCTGCTTGATAAGGTAGGTGCTCAGAGCTAGTTGTTTCTGGTCCTCTGATGGTAACGTCTGTGCCTGTGTGTTCGTGAAACAGAAGCAGTTTCTGGCTGATGCAAGGAGAAAAGGGCATTTGGAAGAGTATTGGATAACTTGGAGAACCAAGGGGGAAAACTGAATAATTTGCCAGCTTTAGGAAGGGTAACTGTGACAGTTGTAACATCTTGAATGTCCAACCAGGAGCATCTCTGAAGTTTTGGCCTTTGAGATGACTGAGTTCCGTTTTGAAATGACTGAGCACTGAATGGAACTCAGGACTTCTGTTTCTTGGAAGGGAGCCAGATTTGCTCTCCGCTTAAGCCCATTTCTTTCTTGGGATGGTTGACAGGTCACCGTAGGCACATAAGATGGGAAAATAAGTATTTCCAAAGGAAATGTGGGTACTGTTAACAAAGAAAAGGAAACGGGCATCAACAAAGGATTCTCACTGCCATCAAGTTTCATTTCAAAGCAGAGAGTTTAAATGAAAGCATTACCTTGGATAATAAGTGAGTTGGATTTTACCTGAGTTCAATCACCAAGTTATTTCTCTACTTAGAAAATCCTGGCAGCCAAATTCCTTAACAAATATTTTATATTTGTGTAAACTTGATTTTTTTACTGACCACATTTTGAAATGTTTACTTAGCTGTTTTCAAGCATACACAAAATTATAATATGAACCCATATGCAACTTCAGCAATTGTTGAAACATTTTGCCATTCATGTTTTTGTTAATTGCATTTGGAAGCATTAGCATAAGATGATTTTATAGTTGGCTGTGTAAAAGCTCATGAGATTTAACATAAAGTCTGAAACTTGCTTTATGAGTATATATTCAAGTATCAAATTATTGTTGGTCTTATACCAAAAAGCATGTTGCCAGTTAGAAAAAAAGATACTCTGTTCAGTGGCCATGCATTGTTTATCTAGAAGTAGAATTTTATTTCCATCAGTGAGGCTTTTTTCTGGCTTAAGCCTGATAAATCAATTCTTTAACAACTCTGTTTTCAGGTTACCTCTTCTAAATTTGTCTTCTGGCTCTTGGAGGCTTTAGGGTGTGAATCAGAGGTTTCATTCAGCAATGGCTCTGAACAGCAGGAGGCACATGGACTGTGTGAGGACTGATGGTGCTCCAATCTCCTTGCAGTTGAAAGATGCATGAGCGTAATGCAGTCTGGGACGCAGATGATCAAGCTGAAGCGTGGGACCAAGGGGCTTGTCCGGCTCTTTTACCTGGATGAACACCGGACCCGCCTCCGATGGAGACCCTCTAGGAAGAGTGAGAAGGCCAAAAGTAAGACTAGCTTTTGAATTCTTGACTTGACTTGACCCAGTTAACACATGGCTTCTATTGGGTGGGCTCTGTGGAAGTTTTAGCTTGGTAAAGCTTTCATATTTTTACAAGTTTTAGGGGGTCAGTGGTTAGAGAATGTGCAGAAACAGAATAAGTGATGACCATTTTTGCTTTTGTTAATTCATCAGGAACTTTAAATCCATAAAAAGTTTTCTTATCCACTAGTGCTGTTGAAGGTAATATTTATCCTATGTTAAAGACATGTTGTACTTAGTTGGGATATGAGGTTTTATATCTTGAGGCCTTTTATTTTCTATAAAAAAGTGAAGGAAGTCATAAATTCAATAGGATTAAACTGTTTTGACATATTCTGTGCACAATTAACTGATGAATGGATTAACAAAATTGTTTTAATGATATCAAATGAAATAGCTTTGATCTGCCTCCTCCATAAAGCCCCTCTCCCAGTCCTATACTCAGTTTCAAGTCCATGCTGAGTCCTCTGGAGCATCTCTCTCATCTGCTCCTTCCTCCTGTTTTCACATGGACCTCCTTCATCCAGGGTCTCTCTCTTTCCGGTAGCCTCTGCAAAATCTCCTAACCAAGTTCCATTTGCTAGTTTCTTCTGCCCTGACCAGTGAAGATGCCTTCCTCTGCATGTCACAGATGACCTCCACTAAGTTAGGCTTACGTGATATACAAATTTATTCTCACTTAACAAGAAACCTGGAGACTGGCTGGCTCCAATTGGGGAACGTTGAGCCTCTAGTTCTGTCTCTCTGAGCACTCTTGGCTTTCTCCCTTCTGCGCTGACATTGTAACTGAGGCAGCAGCAACGTGGCTTCACAGCTGATCGGCTTCAAGAAGATGCAGAAAAGGGACCTTCTCTTCCAGTGCTTCCTCTTCAAGAGGGAAGAGCCCCGTTCCACGCCCTTCCCTCACAATTTGCACACAGATGCACAGAATGCATGTCTCCTTGGTTAAAGTGGGTTATGTTCCCACACCTAAAGCCATTATAGGAGACAGGAGTGCGGCCACCTCAATGGCTTAGCCGCACTGGACTTGCCCTGCAACGGTCAGAGGCTCATTTCCCCATGAGTGGAAAGAAAGAAAAATTGGGACTTGCCATTAACGCAGAGCAGAGGCATGGATGGTGTGTAGGGCAGTCAGTAAGATGACAACGTTCTGATTCGTGCCCCCAAACAGGCAAGCGAACAAACAGAACACAGTGTTTAATCCAAAGCAATCCTCTCTGCAAGTGTTCCCCTGACCCGAACCTGCAGTGTTGCTCCACCACCTAAATAACGCTAATCTCTGCCCTGTCATTCCAGCTCCTCATAATCTAGCCTCTCCCTGCCTTTCCAGTGTTGTCTCCTGTTACTCTCCTGAGCTTTTCAGTCCAGCATCTCTGGAGTGGGACTAATATTTCTGTATCTTTATGCCTCTTTTCCCTGGTTGGCCATCTTGTTTTCCCCTCCACCTCTCAAGCCCCACTCAGCCTTCACCCTTATAGCTCTCTCTATGAATCCAAATCACATTTAGCTATGCTATTTGGTTGCCATCAAATGTTTTTTCCCTTCAATTTTTAACTGCTGTCGTTATGCGTATTGTAAAACATCAGAGTCGGCTCTAGGTCTTTGTATGTTTTCCTTGCATAAATGTATAAACCATACATCTGATATATTCACATCCCCCTTTCCTACCAGTCTTCTTGCCCTGCTGGGCTTATCTGTCTTCCTATCATAAATTTTAACGCTTCCTGACCCAGTGCCTGGGAGGGTATTGTCTGAGTGCCCAGGAGGGTAAAGCAGTCCATGGAGAAGGTTGCTAGCAGGAAACGATAAAGCTTGTATTGCACATTTGGGCTTTTCAATTGTCTGGACAATTCACAGACAATTTTATTTTTAAATCTTAAGATGATTTTACTTTTCTTAATCTGCACACATATCTTCACCTGGCAGGTAACTGTGCACTCTCCTCACTTTCCTCACAGTCCTAATTGACTCCATTTACAAAGTCACGGAGGGTCGGCAGTCTGAGATATTCCACAGACAGGCTGAGGGGAACTTTGACCCCAGCTGCTGCTTCACCATCTACCATGGCAACCACATGGAGTCCCTGGACCTCATCACCTCCAACCCCGAGGAGGCCCGCACCTGGATCACAGGTCTCAAGTACCTCATGGCTGGCATCAGCGATGAAGATTCCCTTGCCAAAAGGCAGAGGACCCACGACCAATATCCTCCCTAAAACTTTGATTCTGCACTCTGTATGTGTCTGTGTGTCTGTATGTGGATTAGACTGTACTTTTCCCCATAATTTTGAGGCTTAAACCCACTTTCCTTGCTGTCTTTTTCTTTACCCTTAGCACCTTTCTGCCCCTCCCTCACCCCCACCCCAAGTAAACGAATGTGTAGAACATGTAGAAACTTAAGCTTACGTGAACTGACTAGATTTAGCTTCATAATCTGCTAGGTCTCCAAATGCAGCGTAAAGTTTCCTAAGAGAGATGAAGTGACGAGCAAAATGCTTATTTGAGTTAGAGGAAATCCCACTTTGTTGTAGAATCAGTCTAGTTTAACAAACACCTTTTTTTTTTTCATTTTCAAATTCATAAATTTTATCACACACTTCCTAGGCGGTGCAGTGGTAAAAAATCCACCTGCCAATGCAAGAGACACAGGAGACACAGGTTTGATCCCTGGGTCAGGTAGATCCCCTGGAGAAGGAAATGGCGACCGGCTCCAGTACTCTTGCCTGGAAAATTCCATGGATAGAGAAGCCTGGTGGCTTCAGTGCATGGGGTGATAGAGAGTCAGTCACGACTGAGCAACCGAGCACGTACGTATTACAAAACCCTTTTTTGAGTTCCAGTTATATACCAGCTGTTAAGCTCTTTCCTGCTTTTTCTTTTGTCTTAATTTACAGTTTGGAATCTGAACTGACTGCCTCAAGGGGAAGTTATTTTTTACTTATTTATATTTACCCTGTCTAAATTGTTCAAGAAACTAGAGTTTCTTGATTAAAATTCTGATTCTCATTCTTGATTAAACCCATTCTTTGGTCCTGCAGCACTGACAGGATAAATGATTAATGTGCCTCGTCTGCAGGCACCTCTTCTGCTGGGACCACCTGGACATGTGACATGCATGGCCTTTCTGGCCTAAGTCTCCTTATCTGTGAAGTGAGGGTGTTAGACTCATCGACTGCTTTGGCTCCCGTTTTCACATTTTGAATGGGCTTCAAATACGTGTTTCCCCCTCCCCCTGCAGGAATTAGTACTACTTTCTTGCTGTCATTGGAATGTGCACCCTAATTTTTTCCCAGAGTAGTGGTAAATTTGTGCTGCTTGAGCTATAATCCTCACCCAGGGTACTGTTGAAGCAGGGAGGAAATATTCAACCCATGAAAGGATGTTGACAGTGCAAAGGTCTAAGCTGATGAGCCATGATGTTTTCACCAGTATTCACAGCATGCAGGTAAATCCAATTGGGATTCATAAGTGAACAAAACATACACATAACAATTAACTTTGTATGCTCTTTTCTGTTAGTTTGGTTCTTAACTCCTTTACATTTGATAAAACACCAAATAATGAGTGCTTTCTGGTGCAAGCCACAGAACCATACTAACAGTGCCTCAGACAATAAAGAATATTCATTTTCTCATGAACAAAAGTCCTGAGGTAGAGTTAATTCAGTGGGTCATTAATGTCATTAGAAGAGATCTAGGCTCTGCCAGTCTCACCTTTTTGGCTTGGTCCATTAACTGGCTACCCTTTGGTCAAAGAGAATTGCAACAGCTCCAAACACAGAGAAACCCTGCCTGGAGGGAGCAGAGTTTCTTCTCATAAACCTCCCCCTCCTTTTTTTTTTAGGAGTAAAGAACTTCCCAGGAGTTTCACAGAAGACTACCTCTCATCATTGGCCAGAAATGCTATTGTGGGCCCATTTCTAAACCAACTCTGACAAGAGGAATTAACATAATTGGACTTTGATCTCAGGACCCTTTTTGTATTTTTAGAACCTGAAGACTCCAAAGAGTTTTTATGTGGACTCCATCTACTTATATTCATCATATTAGAAATTAAATCTGAGAATTAAAAAAAGAGCTCATTAAAAATTATAATAAACTATTACATATAAACATTTTTATGGAAAGTAACTTTTTCAAAGCAAAACAAATTTAGTAAGAAGGGAGGTATTGCTTTACTCTTCTGCAAGTCGTTAAGGTTTTCTACATGTAAGATTGCATCATCTGTAAACACATAATTTTACTTCTTCCCTTCTGATTTGGATGCCTTTTATTTATTTTTCTTGCCTAGTTGCTCTGGCTAGAACTTCCAGTACTTTGTTGAGCAGAAGTGGTGAAGGCAGGCATTCCTAATCTTAGAAGGAAACTTTCAGTCTCTAACTATTGAGTATAATATTTGCTGTGTTTTTTTCACATGTCACTTTTATTATGTTGGGATAGGTTTCATCTATTCCTATTTTGTTGAGTGCTTTTATCATGAAAAGGTGTTGAATTTTGTCAAATGCTTTTTCTGCATCAGTTGAGATGATTTTGGTTTTTCTTTTCATTATGTTGATGCCCCATATAACATTGATCAGTTCTCATGTCTTGAATCATCCTTGTATTCAGGAATAAATCCCACTTGGTCATGGTGTATAATCCTATTAATATGCTGCTGAATTGTATTTGCTAGTATAGCTGACCCTTGAACAATGTAGGAGTTGGGGTGCAGACCTCTTGAGCAGCTGAAAATCTGAGTATTACTTTATAGTTGGCCCTCTGTATTGAGGTTCTGTATCTGTGGATTCAATCAGCTGCAGTGCATGTAGTGCTATAGTACTTAATTATTGAAAAAAAAAATCCACGTATAAGTGAACCTGTGGGTTCACTATTTCCCACCCATGGTGTTCAAGGGTCAGCTGTATTTTGTTGAGGGTTTTTCCACCAGTGTAAATAAGAGATAATGGTCTGTAGTTTTTTTTATAGTGTCTTTCTCTGCCTTTGGTATCAGGGTAATGCTATCCTCATAGAATGAGGTAGAAAGTGTCTCCTCTACTTTAATTTTTGGGGAACAATTTGACAATTTGGTGTTTGTCGTTCTTTAAATATGTGGTAGAATTAACCACTCGCAAAGAGTCGGACACGACTGAGCGACTGAACTGAACTGAACTGAATTGAGAATTAACCAAAGAAACCATTAAGTCTAGAGATTTTCTTTGTTGAGAGGTTTTTGACTACTGGTTCCATCTCCTTACTAGTTATAGATTTATTCAGATTTTTCTATTTCTTTGTGATTTAGTCTTGGTAGTTTTATATTTCTAGGAATTTGTCCGTTTCATCTAGGTTATCCAATTTTTTGATGTACAATTGCTTATAGTGGTATCTTATAGTCCTTTATGTTTCTGTAGAATCAGTAGTAATGTCCCCACTTTCATTTCTGATTTTAGTACCCTGAATCTTTTTTTTTTCTCTTTGTCTATCTAACTAAAGGTTTGTTGATTTTTATTAATCTTTTTGAAAAAAAAAACCTTTTGATTTCACTGATTTTTTTTCTGAGTTGTTTTTCCACTTCATATCTGTTCTTGTCTTTTTATTTTCTTCTTTCTGCTATTGTTTTAAATCTATTGAGACTTCATTGGTGGCCTAAAATGTAATCTATCCTTAAACTGTCCCATATACCCTTGAGAAGAATGTATATGCTATTACTGTTGGGTAAAGTGTCATATATGTCTGTTAGATCTAGCTGATTTACTGTGTTGTTTAAACTCATTTCCTTAGGCCTGTCTGGTTGTTCTATCTGTTATTGTGAGTGCACTCTCCAGGTATAACTGTAAAACTCTTCCTCTCTTCAGTTTTCTCAGTTTTTGCTTTATATATTTTGATGGTCTGTCATTAGATACACGCATGTTTATAGTTGTTATATCTTGTTGTTGTATTGAGACTTCTATTAATACATAATAACAGTCTTTTACAGCCTATTTTGATTTAAAGTCTATTGTTTGATGTTAGTATAGCCACCCTTGCTCTCTTTTGGTTATGATTTGCATCGAATATCTTTTCTCATCCTTTCATTTTCAACCTGTTTGTGTCTCTGGATCTCAAGTGAGTTTCCTGTAGACAGCATATAGTTCAGTCAGGAGTTTTAATCTATCCTGTGAGTCTGTCTTTTGGGGAGTTTAATTGATTTACATGGAAATAATTATTGATAAGGATTAACATGTTATTGTGCTATTTTTTTTCTTTATGCCTTATGTCTTTTTTTGATCTCTTATTTCTTGAATAATAAGAATAATAAGAGACCATCTTCTTTTAATGTGGGATTTTTTTTTTCTTTTTTTGGTTGCAAAATAAATTCATTCATTGTTTCCTTTTATGTAAATTCTATAGCTGTCTTCTTTGTGGTTATCTTGAGGATTACATTTATTTTATTTTTTAAAAATTTTTTTCCATTTATTTTTATTAGTTGGAGGCTAATTACTTTACAATATTATAGTGGTTTTTGCCATACTTTGATATGAATCAGCCATGGATTTACATGTGTTCCCCATCCTGAGGATTACATTCAATGTTCTAAAGTTATAATACTCTAGTTTAAATTTATACTACTTTAGGTGAGGAGGTTTTTGAACCTGATTTGTTTGTTCATGTTTACTAGCAGTAGAAAGTTTTCATATTTGTGTTAATTGACAGCTGAAGAATTGCATATTTTGAAAATATGCTATCTGGAAAGTGAGTGTACCCTAGAATCACACAGAGGAACTATTTTATAAGAAATATAGAACAGTTGCTGTTTGTGTCAGTGAGGAAAGAAAAAGAAACAGGAAATTAATGAATAATGAAGAGGAAGCTGGTGTCAAAAATAGGGAAATTTATGTTGAGTCAGAGAACCATTCTCATAGAGATTTGCCATAATTTGATAGGGATTTAGATACTGTCTTACTATCAGAATAACATCCCTGATTAGATGTACATTTAATTACATTAATTGGGGAGAACAGAGCTGAGAAGTTCATTATTATTACATTTCAATTAGACCTAAAATTTTTCAACCATGAATGAATAATGAGAATAATGAGTCTTAAATGATTGCATGAATAAAATCCATACAGTGTAAAGTGAAATTCAGGTTATTTCTGCAGTATGGCCATGTTGAATGGAGGTAGATGTGGTACCTCTGTCTATCAGAAGCAACACAGTGTTGTGGTTAACGGCTGAGACTGGTGCTGCCCTGTCTGGGG